CAGCTACTATTTATACTTATTCGAAATCATTCAGATTTATAGTAAAATGTAAAAGTTGTTAATATTGATATATCTCTAACAGGTTAAACAAATAACGTTACAAAGTACGTCGCTGTTAAATTGGTGAAGTTGTTTTCTTTATTGGAAGATGTATGTTCAGCGTTCGGATTTCGTTACGTAAATTGTGTGGGTTTCTGTTGGGTTTGGGCATCTGCGGGAACGTAGATTCAGCTTAGTCATTAATTATTCTTGCTTTTGTTTATGTATGAGTGAGTAACTACGTTTACGCAAGCGTTGATGAAGTTTGTGGACGTTCACTAGGGAGATGCCTTGATCTCGGATGACATCATAGCATCTTTTTGGGTATTCTCGCTTACCTAGTTCAGAAAATGTTGACAAATTTTATGGATGAATTACTCATTCCTTCTGTAACTTAAATGCAAACGCAGAATATAAAAATATTTTAGTAACTGGTTCTGTTTTTTTATTGGAATATGGAGGTCGCGTTTAATCTCTTAAATGGAGCGCCCATGTTTCGTTTCAGAGTTAGGAATGATATCAAACGATGGCTAGGAGCGTATTAGCTCACGTACGTACTCGCATGTACATCATTATATTTCATTCGTGCACTAAATATTAAAATTGATATAATAAAAATTCATTTGCTAAATGTAGAATCAGTTTTAACAATACGACGAAAGTTGCAGTTGCGTCTAAAAATCGATATTTAATCCATTTTAGATGGAATTGCAGTCTGTTCGCGAGATAATATCGTTTGCGCCACAATTTATATCAAGTTACGTGGTCGCGAGTTGATAAGAGACACCCGTGGTTCTTTAAACATTAACGCAGTGCGTCGGTCGTGCGGAACCGCGCTTTGTGTTCGGCCATTATTATTGCATCTGCAATAGGCGCTTTTCAGGATGGTGCGACGTGCGCATAATAAGCGATTAACCGCGACACAGGTTTCACTCTGCGACGATTTTATTGGAATCCGCCATCGGCAGCGCATGTATATTTCCTAATCCCATTTTAAGCGAACAGAGAGAACGAAATAGAGGGAAATTGGAACAGCAGAGGAGACGAAGTAAAGCTTTAGAAAAACAAAAAGAGAAAGGGGATACACTCGATAAACAAAAAGAGGATTCAGGACAAAACAGTCGTAACTTTATAGAGGCAAAAAGAAACGGTAGGGAAAGGGAAAAGAGAAGAATGGAACGGGTGAAGAACCGTTGTAGCTTTCGGATGGAATGGCGTTTCACGTTGTGAATTGTTTATACAAAAGCATGCGACGCAGCGATTGAAAAGGGTTTTTCTGGAAGTGGGCGCGAAGGGTTGAAACTATGGTATAGAAGAACATGATCAAAGCTCACTGCAGGCTGCTGTGAGCTAACTACGCGCACAAAGGAACATTGTATGGATCAAAGTGATTCAACTTGGTTGGCATTTAATGAACGGCAGAGGACGGTTCCTTTCACGAGAATTGTATTGTTAAGATATTGTTCCTATCATTTTACTAAGTCGTGTACAGATACTTGATACTTATAAAATCTAGATCGTCTAAATTGAAGTATTTAAAGTGTGCTAACTTTCCTAATTCCATGCACGTCATCAATTATTCGTGGTTAAATCAGAGTGCGATTATACATATGTGTATAACATATAACAGCTGTATACCATTCACCACGATAGTGATGAAGAGATTAAACCGAGCTTGCACTAGCAGAGAAATGCGTAGTTGAGGAATTTTCATGAACGAATTGTGGACACACATGGAAAAGTAAATAGAACATAGTGCGTACTATCCAATGTTTTGATTGAAAACATTGAAAGATACTAAAGAAATATACGGAATCTTTGAAGAAGATAATTCCCTTGACTCCAGTGTTCCATTGATAATAAAGGAATATTTTTGTATTTTCTATACCATTTCGGACAATCATTTTCACGATTGGTCGTTGATCAATCTCAATCGAATAAATTTAATTTGATATTCATTATCCCATCTCATTCATAAAAGCTAAACGGCTAATGAATTATTTTTCTCACTCAATACAGATCGTACTAATCTCGATGTGATGAAAACGGTATACGGCAAGGACGTAGTAAGTTATTTTGGATCGTCGATACGACTGAGAACGTCAACTGCGTTGAATTATTTCGTAATGTCCGGCCAACGTATATTTCTGATCAACGAGCACGCCAACTATTTACGGTACGAAAACTTGTTTAGAGGTTTGCGAAATTTTCGCCACGTAACGCATGAAACACAGTGCTCTTCGAGGACAAATCATTCCTTGATCACTCATTCCATATTTTTAAAATGACAGAGAGCGATGTTTGACTCCCCTTTGTCGTTCGTGTTATTAATATGTAGAATTGTTCGCGTACTATGCGAATTGAAGAGCGGTTCGGAGATATAACAGAGTAACGAAAGTCTCTCGCGAGGAAAAACGGGGTTGTTCGCAATAACTCTTAATCGAGATACGTATTAGAAGATAAAGGCGCCAAATATGCAGGATTTTTTAAGCGGCTAAGGAGCGGTCTTAGAAGCTTCTTGTCGACACAGAGGCCGACGTGGAGCGAATTCCATTGACCCCGATTCCGTGGCGCGCGCACACACACACATATACACGAGAGTCCCTTAATCACCCTTGACCTGCTTCACCTGTGAAATTGTGCATGCCACCTTTTCCAATCTTCCGTATCTACATCCACAATGGATCTTTAGAACACCCCCGTCGTCGTCGCGTCGGCTTCCCTTGATACATACTTCGTTTCAACATCGTCGATCGTTACACGTTCTACAATCTTCGACTTAATCGCAATTCCCTTCGAAGCTTCTCACTTATGTACGAGTGAAAATTAACCCAGATTCGACATTTTCTGCAACAAATTTTATACGTTGCTGGAGGAATTAAATTTGATTGATAGCAAATAGAAAGCGTAACAAATAATGAAAATACAAATTAACAACAAGAGGCTTTTTATACTGCTAGTGGTAAATTGTGAAGAAATATTTGCTTCGCAAACGAGCAGAATTACAATCTGGTAATTAACTTGGAAGGCATGTAAGAATATCTCGGTAGATAATTCTGTAGGAGGTAGCATTACAACATTAAGTAACTGAATAATTCTCTGAATTAATATTCACAGAGGTTCGTAGGAAATGTTCCATTAACTACAAGAATACCCAAGATATCGTTATTGCATTCTGTATCTTCACGTGTCAGACATGGTTCAATTTGTTAAGGGAACCGTTTATTTTAAAAACCAGGATGATTCTCGTTCATTCTTAAATAATAGAGACAATTAAACTTTGCTTTTGTAAAACCATATATTTCGGAGATTACATATTCTAATTTGAATTTATAAAAGTACTTTCAGTTTAAACGCTCACAGAACGTAGAGATTGCCTCGAATGACTAGCCTTTCTACCAATCTCTCGTGTCTTTTGTGTCTTGTCATTTCGGAAGCGAGAGGATTATGTTCGTTGCCCAGTCGGACGAGATCAAAGAGGTCTGTCGCGGAAATGGCCGGATGTTAATTCGAAATAGTCATGCAAGAGACGCATCGTCCAAAAACGGGTGTGCGAAAAATTTTGTTTATACATAAAACATTTTTTCTTTCTGCTCCGAGAGCGAACTAATATTTCTACCAGTAGCAACGCGTAACAGGTTTTCCTCTTTTTTCCATCGGAGGTACGTACGTTTATTTCAAAAACTTTTTGGGTCACCGTATTCATATGTCGATCTTTATTTATACTGCAGCTAGGAGGTTAACGACACTTTATTTATACATGTTTATTTATGTCTCTCTGGCAACGAGACGTACAATTTGTATTTTCAAATAATACGTTAATGCTTTCCTGAATAGTTGCTACGTAGAGAATGAAAAATTGTTATAAAGACAGGTAATGTTCCGCGAATTAGGTTGTTCATTAACGAAACCCTCCTGGCTTTTTCAACGTTGTACGTGATGTGCAAAAAATGAATAATTTTTTTTCTAATATTAACCCATTCGCAGTTGCAGAAATACTCATCAAGCCGTTACGTTTTATGATGATCTCGTGTTACTAATGAACGGTGAAATATAAGTAGGTAGCTGCTAGATACATATTTCGCCTGCGCATAAATTACGAGGCTGCAATTGATTTTGGTTACGGTTTATTTACGTCAAAATTGTAAACTGGGCTTATGCGCGTATAAGTAGGTTAGCTGCTCTTTTGTGCGTATCGCGTTGTAAAAATGAAATACGGGTTCGATGGTGGAACGGTGAGCGCAAATATAAAAAAGTTTTGTTTGTTATTTCGTAGCAACTGTGTCCTAGATTTTTTTAACGATTCGTAAATACTTTGACGTTACTTGACCTTATGTGTATTTTCCATCAATTGTCGAATAATTAAATGGTATTTGCATCACATGCAATGGTATTTAAATAGTATTTGCAATTTCATCAGCAATTTAATGTTTAATTTAAGTAGATAAATGTTCACGGGTTTGAATAACATTGGATAAATGTTCAGTGGTAAATCTGTTTCTTTTTCTCTGGCAATGATGACGACGTTTGATGGGAGTGGAGAAAAATATTTCATGATGGTCCCTTGAGGAATTCGTTTCCTATTTTTCTTATTCCGTTACCTTGGTTGTAATAAATTCCGTCGATTTATGCGAACAGTCTGAGCGTATCAGAACGTTTTTATTCGAATTGGTTCCATAATTCGAGAAATACTCAGCACAAAGCGAAAGGAATTTTTAATAAAAGAAATTATATTTAAATAACGTTGATTTTTATGAAACTCAGAATTATGATAAAAAGAAGTACCCTTAATTAACTGAATAATTGGAAAAAGGATTATGAAAGGATTTCGTAGTAAAATCCAGTAATTTTCGCGTTCACCTATATCACGACGTTAACATCGACTACGAGCTGAAGTTTACTACGAAAAACTGGCTGCAGCATAAAACTAATTAGATCGTTTTTTTCGTGCGTGATTACAGATTCGTGAGCAGAAAAATCAGCTTGCATGGACCTTGACTACCCGGCCTTAATGCGAGAACTGCAGGCATTCAGTGCACCGAGAGGGGGTGAGTGTATCATTTATCGACCGTTTTTTCTTGTACTTCCTCGATTACGAATATAATATCGCTCGCAAATTGAACGCCCACTAGTAGTAGATTAAAGAAAAAAAAAAGCAGAACATAAAAGTTGAAGTGAAAATGAAGATTCATGAAAAGGGGAGAAACAAATCATAAAAGTAGACTCGGATTCGAATATAGGATTTTAACTTCGGTCGATTTATTTGGCTTATTTTTTATTATAAAACTTAAATCAACTTTCAAAATATTTCTACTGTTGGCATGGCAAGCTTTACTATATTCGTGCTTCAAATGAAGCTGTAGAGCTTACGAAGGAAAAGTGAAAGTAGCGAAGGTTGATATAAATAATTAAATGTAATGAATTTTCACACAGTCTCGTCGTGCTTTCCGTAGCCGGCGATGCATCTTTTATCCATATCTGCATTATTAACGTTTCGTGTTACTTTCTGTTCGAAATTCTCAGAGCCTTGTTTTTACTCATTTTGTCCTATACATTTCACATTAAAATTTAACATATGAAACATTTGCAATTACTTTTATTACTTCAAACCAGAAGAAAGAAATACTTTTTATTGTTAAATTAGATTTTAAATGTCGATCTGCGTAGTCCATTTATCATAGATGCATCAATTTTTAAAAAATGCTGCAATAAAATTTGACAGAGTAAGAGGGGGGATAGATTTATACGCAGAAAAGGTTTGAGTTTCCTTCACAGGCGATTTTTGCCTCGAACAGGAGAATTTGTATGAGCGCTAAAAGCGTCGATCGACAAAACAATTTGGTCGTCGCGTATTTGTCGAGGGAACAGACGAATTGAAATTGGGTCATTATTTTCGACGATGGCTAGCGGCATGGCCGATATTTGGCGATGCTCGTTGCGGAATTTTGCGCCGTTGGAAACGTGACATTCAGATCGTGGCTCGTATCCAGGCCAATCACGCCTTGTAGAAGAATTAGCCGGTTTCGAGAACGGTCAGTTCACTCTCTCTAGCTTCATCGGTTTTCTCGTTTTCTCATTCCTCTCCGCTGTTTGAGATGAATTCCCGAAAGACAGGAGGAACGAGCGGCCCAGCCAAGCTACAGTTTTCCACGAAATATTCGTTGGCAACTCAAGTTGCCTCGAATTGGGAACGACCCGTCTGATGATAATGACCGTCATGATTCGTCACGCTTTCGTTTTCCTCGTTCTTATCTCGAATATGATAATCCGTTCTGTTATTTTTGGTCCTGTTTCCTGTTCAAAGTCCATTGTCATGCCAACTTTTACAATCGTGTAATATCAAACAAGAACCATCACGTTCTTTATCGACTTTCATAGCGTAATTTTATGAACAGGGAGCGCCCTGCGGATTCATTCGTTGTGTCGTGAGGATCTCAGATATCCACGAATAATTTCTGACCCACTCGATAAGGAACCCACTGTATATGGACTGTATATGTAGAATACCATTTAATATTTGTTGAACTGTACCTTGTCACAGAGATACACTTTGTTTCTCTAATTTTTCCGTAGCGAAGAGTTCGATCAAAGAATGAACGAAAAATATAACGTAATTGACTGTCTGAAATTTAAGCTTGATAAAAGGAGCGACGCGACATTTTAATTAAAATTTAGTCGAGATGCCGTTTGACCTATTAGCGGTGGAACTCGATCGCAGGAATCTCTTTCATTCATGGAACAGGTAACATAACGCCCACGTTCGATTTATAACGCCTACACGATCCAACTCTGTGTATATCTAAAGCTTTGCCTTCGCCCACGATGAAAGTGCGAAAGTCTTTAGTTGCGGCTTTTTAATCCGTTCGACTATAAACAGCTTGCCTGACCTTAACTTCAAGCAGCCTCTTATCAAACTTTATTCGTTGCCCCAGGTCACTGCTTTTTGTCCCTTCGCGGTGGGAATCTGAAAAATTGCATTATGTAAAAAGAAGAGGGAAAGAATACGCAGTAATAACACCTCGCGTTTTATATTATGTTCGGTTGAAGAATACGTCGCCTCGCTTCCATGGTGACACGGTGTTACATTTTTTAGACGCGAAAGAAACTTCCTCGCAGCGTGCAAGCAGGCTGCTTGCGAAATGAAAAAGTTCGAGAGCAGTGTCGGAGAATAAAAGGTTAACTTCGTACAACTCTGATTTCTTCTTTGCTTCTTTTTTTTCACTCGCGTGTTTTAGTTGTTTTTTCTTCCCACGTTAGAAAATATCTTTGAAATTTCGTGCTACCACGTCGCGTCTATATAAAGGAGGGATGAGGAAACTAGAATTAGGATAATCCTGGTGGTGTACATCATTTCCAAAGTTATATGTACGTTTCTAAACTTCTATTTTTAATTCTATGTTATAAGAATCTTTTCTTCAAGTGAACATAATTTTTTACTCCGAGTTATTTAAAACTTCGAATCCATTTTTTTTTCTTATTATAAGAAGGTTATTATAAGAACTGTTTGATATTCATAATAAAAGAATTTTTAATTATCTTTTCATTCTGAAGACATTGATATTTTTAGCTCACTTCCTATTGTGAACTTTGAACTTTTCTTCACGATTATTGAATATTATTGAAATCGTGGGTGTTGGAAATGAATCGTGGAGCTTTATCGTAGCATTGTTTCATAGGACGTTTGCCACCCGTACGCTGACCTATCGGTATGACCCTGGATTCATGCTTACATGCATCACGTTCTCCCTGATGGCATCTTTTTACCTTCGTCGCCTGACCTCCACCTACGTGCCTTATTCCTGATGATTTCTGCACGAACGCTCGCGTTTCATTCACGTTGTTCTATATTTTTTTACGTGTTATTTTAATTATAAGAAGGTTATTATAAGAACTGTTTGATATTCATAATAAAAGAATTTTTAATTATCTTTTCATTCTGAAGACATTGATATTTTTAGCTCACTTCCTATTGTGAACTTTGAACTTTTCTTCACGATTATTGAATATTATTGAAATCGTGGGTGTTGGAAATGAATCGTGGAGCTTTATCGTAGCATTGTTTCATAGGACGTTTGCCACCCGTACGCTGACCTATCGGTATGACCCTGGATTCATGCTTACATGCATCACGTTCTCCCTGATGGCATCTTTTTACCTTCGTCGCCTGACCTCCACCTACGTGCCTTATTCCTGATGATTTCTGCACGAACGCTCGCGTTTCATTCACGTTGTTCTATATTTTTTTACGTATCATTTTACCAAAAGCAATGAAATAGTTTAGTAGACAAATTAATCGAATAATAAAAATAGTTATTTTATCCTTGTTAGATTTTATATTTATAAAAAGGAACATGTTTTCATTTTGGAAAGGTAGAAATTGAGATTAATTAATGAATGAGGACGAAATGCACAAACAGGAAAAATATAATCCCTGGGACTCTGCTTTTTAAAGCGGGCAGGGGTCGATAAATTTTTTGCTCAAGCATAATTCGTCCACCCAGACGGAGATATCCTCGCTGGTATCATTTCGCGGAGGGAGTGATAAAGTTTTTCCTGCTCGTTCCATCCCCCTGACGAGCTGTACTGAACAAAAAGCGTTTCCCGTTTCCGTAAAACTTTATTTCCGGATAGAGATTCATTTTTTTTATAACTCGCATGCAGGTAGGCAGCGAGCAAAATACTTGCTATCTTTTGGGAATTGGAAGAATTCAGTAGCTTACGCGCAAATTCCTTTCTTGTCACGCGTTTTATTTCCTCGTAGCCTTGCGTAAGAAGTACTTTGTTACACCCAATCCACGAACACGGCAATTGCCTTCGTTTCGAATTTTTCACGACGAATCGGTTCGAGATTTTCCCTCTTGCTTGCCTGTTCGCTGTTCTCTTTGTAAAGATGAGAGAACTCGAAGAGCACAGTATTTTTCTTGGTTTTACGATGCATTTCGAGGATATCGAAGGTATTTGACGTTCTGAATTTTTATCAAACGGAGAATGTATTTGTCAAGAGATAATGTATAATTCGACAGTTCCCAGTGGTAAAGAATTAAAATAATATTATTTCTAATTTTTTCACGGTTCTTCGGTTAACCGAGAGCTTCAATCACTCGACTTATCGACGCGATTTCGTTTTAATCACCGCGTTACTCGTTTCATCTTCACATCGTGCGTTCGCTCCGACAGGCGATGGAATTTCGAGCGATACAGGGAACATGTAACGATATTTCAACTATGACGCGTTGGATTCATTTCTTGAATGAGACGAAAGGACAAAGGGATCGTGCTCCGTTTTATCATTGAAAGTATACCGTCCTTCTCTCTTTCGCTATTTCTTTTTTCCTCTTCCCGTTCTCTTTTGATTTTATCGGTTCATCTTTTATTCCAATCACAACAGCAGCAGCGGCAGTAGCAGCCGTACACGCGTCCCAGTTCTTTGCTTTGCCTCCGCTATTCACCGCTCCTTCGATTCGAGCGAAATGTTTCAGAAGCGATTTTTCCTCTGATCCACGAAATCACGGTCCGTTTGAACTATCGCGGAACGTGTAATCAAGCATAGCTCGTTCTCGCCTAATTAATACTTGTTTCCTGCCTTTCCTCCTATCGTACAGTTCGCCGTACGCTTCAGGATTAAGGCTGAAAATTCGATGCTCCCTTTTCATTCGCTTTGCCGATTTTCCGAACTCATTTTCCACCTCGCTCTGTTTCATTTCCTATATTTTTACAATCTTGATATCTCGACGTTGAAAAGCCCGCTACATTTTAATTAATTATTAAATTCTTTTTAATTGGAACCTTTCAAGCGGTAAAACTGCTGATTTGAAACATTTTTTAAGAACTTCTCAGACTATTATTCTTCTGCGGGCTGGTATTCATTAATATAATGATGTTCTTTTTTTAAACGACTATTTAATATTTTATTTGAAACGTTCGAAAATCTTCATTAGCTTTGTACCTATCCCAATTGTCTCTCTCGACCGGTAATTCTCTTCCTTAAAAAGAACCTTTTCGCATCAACCAGCTTCGCCCAGTAATCTTCTTTTGTTGCGATCGTAAT